AGGTGCATGAAGGCTACTTGGTCTTCAAGAATTGGCTTGAATCCCTCTACAAAGCAAGGGAGAAAGATATTTCGTAGCAGTATCTAGAGAAGTCTCTTCAACGAGGATCAACCACATTTGTTGCAACAATTCCAAACTCCCATTGTAGCTTCTACTTTTGATGTAATTTCTACTAAAGTAATTCATATATTTCAATTGCAAATATAAGCTCAAAGTAGGAGCCTGTTCCCTCAGAAGAATTTTTTACTGATGATGGAGAAATAAAGAAAAACATTTTTGAGTACTTTTAGTTGTTACAATTACCTCTTATGAGACTGACACAGATGTTCTTAATGAAGGAGAGGAGCAATACCCGTTATTTCACTCCTTCAATGGTGCTTATGAGATTCATGATGGGTTGAGTGATTTGTTAGGCAGTGTAGGCGAGACGCCACTTTCTTGGGACCCTCCATAGAACCTTTTCTTGAGTGTGCTGTTGGGAGAGATCTTGCTGGGTCACCTTAGGAGGACATTCAAGAGGTCCGCTTACGAAGTGACAAGCTCCTTCCTCCAAGGGTAGCTAAGCCTACCTCTCATTACAAAGAGAAGGAGATCATCATCCAGGAGGTAGATGATCATTGTGAGGTTCCTGTCCAACAAAAAGGAAAGAACCCCTCCAATGGGGAGGATTGCAATGTGATAGTACACCTGAAAAGGTATCCTGCATCTTTGAGCATCTATGTACCTCTCCTTCTATCCTCAGAAATGAGGGAGACTTTTGTGAAAGCTCTTTTAGAGCCTAAAGACTTCCTTGCCTATTAATCCATATAGAGGATGGAGGAGGCAATTTTACTGCAAGCCATAACTGTCGTCACCTTTTCTGAGGACGACCCATTATTGGGCACCACGGACCACAATCATCCCTTGTATGTGACAGCTATGATATGCATTACACCTCTGAACCATTTCTTAGTCGATCCCAGAGCATATGTTATCATTATTAGTGTGAACAATTTGGAGTTAATTTCATTGACTTGCAAAGGTTGTGCTCCAACTAGGTCAAGTTGAATTGCTTCAAAAAGAAGGGTTAAAAGACCCTTGGTTTTATTACCCTTCCTCTCCAATTTAAAGAGCTTACAAGAGAATCCAAGTTCCACGTTAAAGATGGGAACATGCCCTTCAGATCCTTGATTAGATGACCCTATTTTCGTGAGTAGTTATGGTACCTTCTATCCTCCACTAGTGTGCCAAATACATTCGTAGAGGCAAAGCATTTTCCATTCGGGGTGATGTCCAACCTTTTTCAATGAACAAATTGAATATATATAATGGCGTTGAGAACTACATACCTCATAAGATATCTCTACCATCTTCTAGCATCGTGGAATGCCCACATGCCCCTTTTTTTCCTGGCTCTTGTCCAACCAAAGTTGAATAGATAGCAAAGTGAAAAGAAAAGCTTAATGCCCCACATGTAGTGGAGTAAACTAGAAGACTCCATACCATGTTGAACTCTAAGGTTTCCATATGAGTCAATTTGATACAAATTCTAAGGTAGAAGAGGCCTTACATGTAGTCAAACCTGAAGGCTCACTTGGAGTTAGTCCAGATAACTCAGATGAGAAGATTGTGTGGTCATTATTAGCAGTCATGGTCTTTTTCCTATTTAAGTTATATTTAGTGGTTGAGGTGTTGACTATCGACCCAGAACCATAAGGCCATTGCAGAGATTTGATGGCTGCACGACTTCTACAATTGATGATCTCAAGACATTCTACGTACCTTCTAGACCCAAGTCTAAGGAGAAGGGTACTTTTATCTACAAATTTGATTCACATGTAACCAATCACGATGTAATCTATTTGAATGGAGATAATGAAAAAATAGAGGACACCCCTCTTTCGTACTACGGTTAACCTCTCATTGCAAAGTTATTAAATCATGGGTTACTACCTGAATAATGCTCCTTTTGTCAGGCTAAATTATTCAAGGCTATGTGGTGGAATAAACCTCCAGAAGTAAGATTCGATCTAGGATATGTGAAAAAGGAAAGCGACATGAAAATCCCTAGTGCTTCATGCCTGATGGTCTCATCATCTCCTGATAGTGGGGGCTCTGCTTCTCATGATGAGGAATGTTATGTCAAACAAGCCTTTCTAGAGTTGGAGGATGACATTTCTTTGATCGTTGACAAGTTGAACAAAGTTAACATAGACACAACAGACGATCCTTTTCCCATTTACATTAGTAAATGTCTATCTGCTTCTATAACTAGTAGAATCATTGAGAGTTTCAAGAAGTTCCGAGATTGCCTTGCTTGGAGGTATTTTGAAATATCTGGCTTAGCTCCAAAGGTCATTGTTTGTAATCCTTCCATTGATCTGAGTATCACTTCGATGAACAAAACTTTTCGGAGAATGTAGCTCAGAATTGAGCTGAAGGTTATTGAAGAAACTAAAAAGCTCATTGAGGTTGGCTTTATTAAGAAAGTATCATTCTCTACATGTATTGAAAAGATCGTACACATTCGAAAGATGAATGAATATATATGATTTTGCATTGAATTTCTGGACATGAATAAAACCTATCCTGAAGATGACTTATCTCTTCTTATACTGGAGCTGATGGTGGTTGTTGCATGGTCACATGCTATGTTCTTCTTTATGGATGGCTTGTCCAGTTACAATCAAATGTAGATAGCCCCAGTTGAAAGGTATCATACGCCATTTCATATGTCTATTGCATCTTTTGTAATGGAATTATTCTCTTTAGTTTGAAAAAAATCGAGGTGATCTATTAGTATGCCATGACTATTATCTTTGAAAACTTGTTACATCACAAGGTTGAATGCTATATTGACAATGTGGTTGTCGAAAATCGTTTTGAGGAAGATATTCTGTCATGTCTAAGGACCTTCTTTGAATGCCTTTGAAAATATAATCTAAAGATGAATTTGTTGAAGTGCATCTTTGGCGTCTCTTCTGGGAATTTTTGGGACATTATAGTGTGGCGTAGGGGTATAGAGCTTGCCGTAGCCAAATCAAATCCATCACCAATATGGAACCTCATAAAATCTTAACACAATTGCGCTCCCTTCAAGGGAAGAAGTAGGGGGTTTATTTTAAATCTTTCTAGGTGTTGCTGCCCTTTCTCAGCTTTGGTTAAAAAGAATACCCTCGTACATTGGGACAAAGCATGTCAAGACACTTTCAATGAAATTAAGCACTACTTAATACATCCACAATTATTAGCTACTCTTGTACTTGGGAATCCTCTTTCACTCCATATTACCGCTCTTGACGAGTTGGTAGGAGCTCTGTTAGCCTAAGTTAACATGGATAGGAAAGAGGATGCCCTCTAATACCTCAATAGGTACCTCATCCTAGTAAAAATGAAATATCTAACAATCGAGAAACATTGCTTGACGTTGATATTCTCAGTTAAAAATTGAGAAATTACATGTTCTTGCACCGTATTAATTTGATTTCAAAGGTAAAAACTTTACAATATTTGATGACTGGTCCCATTTTATCTGGGCGGTTAGCAAGCTAGGCCATCCTCCTATCACAGTTCAACATTTCATATGTCCCTTAGTGAGCCATCAAAGGACATGATTTGGTTGATTTTCTAGCAGTACATCCAGTTCTAGCCGACTCATTGCTAATTAACAACTTTCCTGATGAGCACCTATTAGTTGTTGACTCATCTAAGTAGGAATTGTATTTTGAAGGGGCTTCTTCCTTGAAGGAAGGACCATCAAAATCTCTCTCAAGGATGAAGGTTGACATTGGTCTTATTTTTGTCTCCCCCAAGCGTGGTATTCTTCGTTATTCATAAAGCTTGACAGAGCTTCACATGAATGATACTCACCTAATGTGCCTAGGGATGTACTTCTTGTAATCTCAAATGGGTCTATGATTTCTGGAACTTGATTTTTGTAGCAATGTGGCACTACACATTTGACCGTGACAACAGTATCAAAAACTTGATACTTTTCCCAATTCATGTGAAATTTACTCACCAGGGGTTTTACGGAAGTATGTGTCGTACCAGTAATATCGGATTATAGAGCCTGTATTATCTATCCCACAGAGAATGCGGTATTTAATCTAACAGGTATGATCCATGCTCATCTGAACTTTTAGGAAATTAAATCTTGATTTGTCCGTAAATAAAACCCCAATGAATAGAGCATACAAAGGAGAGAGAGAGAGAGAGAGGAATGAATAATAATCAGTCTTGTCATCTATGTTGAACTTTCCCATTCATTTTGGCTAATTTGGCTATCCCTTATTCATAAAATGATTTTCTTATTTATAATAGTGGTTAGCTTTCTTATGCTGATTGGCTTGAATGCCTATTTGTCTCGTTTTAGTTTGAACAATTTGGGCTCAGGTCACTTTGTCATTTGTTTGTCCTCCTCGTGACTTGGTCAGTTCTGGCCTTTACTCGGGCGGCTGCATCCGATCAGCTTTGGTTTTATTTCAGGCTCATATGGTTTCATCTAGTTAGTTTTGGCTTTTAGCTAGGATGACTGCATTCGGTCAGAAAAGTTGGTCTCATGATCTTTTGCCGGTGGGCCCTCATTTCTCATACCCTTCTCCTCTAGACTATTAGATCTCCTTATATTACTGCTGACATATTTTTATGTATAGCCTTATTACACATCAATCAAAAGCCCAATATCTTATAATTTGCTTTATAAACAAAAAAATGCAAATATTTCCCATCATCGAAGTAAAATAAATAAATAAATTATAACGACTAGTTAAATTTTAGTTTTAAGGAATAATCTAGAGCATCAACTAATGTTTACATTTATAAGAAGGAAATTCCATCAGGCTCTAAGACCTACTTAACTTTCAACAATTTTTTTTTATAAGCAACAAAAATGTTCTAGGCGATTTTTTTCTTGCGACCCCGTTGTTTACCATGCAATAATTAGCCCAGTAAACAACCATCGTCTTCCCTCTATAAATATCTACCATCTATATCTCCGCTCTCAGCATATACAAAAAAACTATTCCTTCGCCAATCCTCCAATCCTCCCAGTTGCAGCATGGCTCGTTTGCTTCCATTACTCCTACTTCTTTTCCTAACCGTACTCCTCTCCCGTCTCCCATCCCCTTGCGCTTCTCTACCCATCCGTCTCAACCTCACCCATATAAATTCCAAATTTTCTAACATCTCCATTGAGGATCGCAACCTTCTTGCAATTAAGCGCGGCAAGCTCCGCCTGGCATTCATTTCTTCAAGGTTATCGACGTCTTTAGTCGACGTGCAAACCAATGTCCAGTATTCTAACCAGGAATATTCAGCCGACTTAGCCATCGGTACCCCGCCCGTTTCCGTCTCCGTCCTCCTCGACACGGGCAGCGATCTGATATGGACCAAGTGCGAGCAAGGCTCTGCTTACAATCCCTCTGCTTCCTCCACATACTCTCCTCTCTCCTGTGGCTCCACCTTCTGCCAGAACGAACTTACGTCCTGCTCCGACGGTAGTACATGCAGGTATTTCTTTATTTGAAGAGTATGTGATTTTTAAAAGCATGAGTTAAAATAAATAAATAAATAATTGAATGACACAATATGTAGCCTCTTCATGCACTTGAAATAGTGCAGGCCCAGCCATTGGCCTCATCTGCGGAAATTTTGTGGATGACAATATGCCGAGCTATTTAATTCAGAATAAATACTTAAATCAATTCTACAAAATTTTAAGATTTTAATTTTACAAGAAAAAATCATGATTTAGCACTTATAGCGTTTTCTAGAAGAAAAACTAATGTTATAATGCAAAATATCAAGAGACTTAAATGGATAATTGAGTACTTGTAGATATTTGAGCTAATGTAGTATAGAATATAATCATCTAGTTTCATAATATGGAAAAATAATTACTTTAACCCTTCAACACAACAGAATATAATTCTCGATGTTAATACACTCACAGTCTATACGAGTATTAAATATTTCACTTATAAATAAGATCTTATTTTATAAAATAATTTTTTTATTGGGCTGTTGAAGGCAAAGAGATTGCCTTTTAAACACAATTATTTACAAAACATGGTCCATAAAGCCACGAGTTAAAAATTCTCCGGCAGGATGCTTTGGAACATTAGGAGGTCAAAACGTGAAGACTAGTTTGTTAATTATTTGGGATTAGACAAAACTTATTTTGCATCTCTAGAAAAACTACCAAACCTAATCATTGATTATATTATATAATATTCTTGGGCGGCTCCTAAAATCTTGCCACTAATTTGTTGGAGTAATTTGTAGTTAGGAGACGATTTTGTGCGATATGGAGCATTTACATAAGAAGCACACAATTCTTATGAATGTACAGATCTCCACCAAAACTTTCAGATTTACACACGCATATCATATCATAATTAGCACTATTGTTATTTTTTAAAAATCAAATATAATTTTTTTCGTGCAGAAATTTAAAGTACTATATCTATATTTGAAAGTTTATGAGGGAGATAGGTAATATTGAATCAGAAAGTAATTGTGAATCATGCCTAAGAACTAGAGCGTAAGTAGAGATAGCGAGAGGGATGAACAATAATGAAAAGTAATCTCTTTTGTGTCTTATTCATAAAATGTTTCTAATATTTTGGTATAACGATAGGATACATTGTTGTCATTATTTGGAAGGTGTTTGAACTAGGATATTTCTGGAATTTTTACATGTATAGGCTTGTTGCCCAACTACTATCTTGCTTAGCGGCTGAGGTTAATTGGCAACAAATCGACTAGATTCACTCGATCAGCTGAGCTTAGTCCATACAAATCGATCGGTTTATCTAGCCTATTTGTCAATCCTTAATTCTTCGTAAGGAGCCTCTAGTGCGTCTATAAAATAGTTGTATATACTATGAGATTAGATCTTCCCTTGAATTTGCTTTAACAAACAATAGGATATCTCATCTCATCGACTTTCTTGTAATGATTGACTCGGTCCTTTGTCTCATTTCTGGGGAAAGACCCGTGCTTGTATCATCCAACCATCTTCTTATTCGTCTCGTGCCTCAATCGAGTTTGGAAAGTCAAGAAGGTCTCACGATCTCAATGTAGTAGATCTAACTCTATCATATTTTTTTTCTTTCCAATCATTAAGTTTTATTAAGATTAGTACAAACACCTTTATGATATACATATAAGTAAGAATCATATACAAGTTATGTAAATTTCTCTATAAAAAATTATAATTTAAAATAACTTACAAATTACTAAAAAAATTCTAAGGCTTATTAGTTATTACTTAATTATGTCATATTAAAGAAAAAATTAATTGGTTGACAATTTAGTTATATATATTCTTTAATTTAACAAAAATTAACGAAAAGCAAATTGCCATCAATTTCACAACAGCTTTTACTCCCCGTACGGTAGCGCCACGGTTGGCGGAACCATGGGCGCTGAGACCTTCTCCTTCGGCGGCACAAATGTACCGAGCTTAGCTTTCGGATGCAGCAACTCGGAAATGGGATCTGCAACGACGATCTCCGGTCTTTTGGGTATGGGTGGAGGACAGTTGTCCCTCGTCTCCCAGCTTGGCTCAGAAAAATTCTCCTACTGCCTCACCCCCTACGACTCACAATCTACCAGCCCTCTTTTCCTCGGATCCCTCGCCAACCCCGATTCCTCTTCTCAAACCACGCCCTTGGGACAAAGCCCTAATATTCCAACTTACTACTACCTCTCTCTCCAGGGAATAACCGTGGGCTCCACTAAGCTCTCCATCCCAAGCTCCGCGTTCGCGATTTCATCCGATGGCAGCGGAGGGTTAATCATCGACTCCGGCACCAGTTTCACAATGTTGGTCCCGTCCGCATATGATGTTTTGAAGCAAGAGTTTCAGTCACAGATGGGGTTGCCGGTGGCGTCGGGGAACACATTTGATCTCTGCTTCTCGTCTCCTTCCGATGGTTCTTTTCAGCCGCCAAAGCTTATATTTAATTTTCAGGGTGCTGATATGGATTTGCCGAAAGAAAATTATTTGGTTTCTGATGCGGGAGGCAGCTTGTTGTGCCTGGCTATATTGCCGAGCGATCAATCTTTATCCCTCTTTGGCAACTTTCAGCAGCAGAACATGCATATCGTCTATGATGTCCAAGGGGGCAACCTCTACTTCGCTCCTGCTCAATGCGCAAATTTGTAGACTCTTGCCATGCCTTTGAGAGGAGTTAATTCAGTCGTACTTGATTTATGTTGTTGTATTTTATGCTTCGGGCTATGTGTCAATTATTGCATACGGATACCGCATGCATCTGTGCATTCGGTGTCCAATCATGACCGTAGATCACGGTGATCGACGGTCATGATATATTTCAGATTTTTTTTTTTTTTAAATTTAGGTGAGGTATCGGATCACCTGATCTACGGTCAGAATCGGACACCGCATGATTTTTTTCTTTTTGTGAGTTGTAATAATTTTCATATTTTTCCTTAAGTAGTATTGGCTTGGTATCATTTTCCCGTATGAGCAGGGCGCAAGAAAAAAAATAAAAGAAATGAAACGATAAAATAAACTGCAATTTGTCGATCAAAGAGCGTTTATAAACTATAATGGCCTATTATAGAACCGTAACTTTCTATTGACAACTAATCCAATGTAAACAATGTATTAATTATAGTGAATTGTGCAAATATATTCGTATCATTTTTCATCCATTAAAATATAATTTTTCCTCAAGGTTGAAATATATTGAGCATCTTCAGTCGTCAAGAGATTTAGATGGAACTGTTAGGCAACATTGCAGGCAATGAGTGATCATCCAGCAAAAAATATTTCATCCCAATTATCCTCTTACAATGCTAAAGATGAATACTTTCAGGCAATACAAAATTTAGTCATTGAATAGAATGATTCTGTTTGTTTATTGAACCAAACTGCGGGCTCAAAAAAGTGTTTGCATTTTGCTAAAGCATAAATGCATCATAAAGTTCTTTCAAGTCATATTTTTTTATGAAAAAACAAGTGGGATGGACTGAGCTATACAAGTTTTTATTTTATTTAATTTTGGAAGATTTACATACATACCAGTCAATTCTTGTGTATTCACATATGTAACCCCTAAAATTCAATTTTGACGGTGAAATTGTGAATCTCAATTTTTAAAAATTAAAACGATGACATCTTTTTATGTGATACGAAAGTTTGGGTGGTAAAAATATAAGAAAAGTAAAGTGTAAGTGTTTGATATGTAAATGTATAGGAATTGGATAGTTTGCATATAAATGCACCATTTTTTTTATGGCCCGTCTTTAGCAAATTATTATTTTTTAAAGTATAACTTTGTCTTAAACCCAGTCGATTTCAAATTAATTTCTCATATAATCTCCTAAAACTCATTCACCTTTTGTTCAATACTATTAAGGCAATCCAACACCTTGCTAACTGATGTGAGACTCTTAAATTATTATCTTTAGCACTACAATGCTACTACCTAACAATATCTAAGGTAGAGAAAGCAATGATAGTTTATCTTAAAACTTTTAAATTTGAACGTCGAGTAAGCAGTGCATTTTAATATTTGGGCGGATAGCTTTCATCATGTTGAAAGGTTGTATCATTGTTGGTTATCTGTGAAATTGGGATGCTAATGATTATTAGCGAGATAGATCTTCAAATAAGGATTGGGTAGAAGGAAAATACCGAGATGTGGATGAAGATGAGCAAATATTGAGAGCCTTAATGGTTAGATTTTGAAAATGGTGATAATGGGGGTTGTTTGAACAAAAAAATTGCGATGATATAAGAGTGTTTTTTTTGCATATTAATTTCCAAAGATAGAAAAAGGTCTAATAAGGTGAGACAAATATATTAATTCAACATATATGAAATACAAAGAAAAATCATATCATTAAAGTCGTGTTAAAATCAAGTTGAGTAATTGGCTTGATCAATCTCCCAGAAATAATAAATTTTCAAAGTTCACTAAAACTTAAGCACACCTCTAAGAGATACTTTTAATAAAAGAAATGTGCCAATATTTCAAATTAAATATATTAACAAGAAATATACTATAATTTAAGAATTTCTATCTTAGATAAAAAAGTATGTTCATCCAAATGTGTCAATCAGAAAGGTAAATATGAATTATTACAACCAAGAGAAATGTGTTTCTTCACATGAAAAAACTTGGTGATAACACTTATTAGATTACAAAAAATTAACTAGAGTGAATAGACCCAATGGAGTGCTAGTATAATTAATAAATAAATAAATGATAAAAATAACATAGTAAAATTTTATAGATATTATCCATGGGTTATATAGCTCAAAATTGTTTAATTCTATAGATAGTGAATCCAAACTATCTTAAGATGCATTGGCAGCAATAATAAATTGCATCATCTAAAGTGAGCATTGTTATCTCAAACCAAAATATAGAGAAAATAAAAAAGATGTGATAAAAATAAGGGATTTCATTGCTTATAGTTATAATTAAAGACTATCTTTAAGAGAGGGTGAACGAGCTAGCCCAATTATCCATAATCGAACTACTCAATCGTATATATAATTTTATTTGAATTAGGAATAACAGTACCTATCATGTTGTACATCTACCAAAGCATATTAATTAAAATTATGCCATCAAGTCAAGAGCATTATCTTAAGGGATATTATATGAATGCAAAGCTTTCTATCCTTAAGAGAAGCACATTACACCATAAAGACTATTAATCTATGATTATAACACTACAAAAAAATCAGTTATAATCAACTAAAAAACCAACAGATTTATATGCTTCGAAAAATATCGTATTAATTTCCGACGTCATAACAATGGGAATCAGCTTAATAATTTTCGAAGACATAACAACTTCCTAACTCATTGCTTTTCTACATGAACTAAATTCATTGATTTTTTTTTTTAGTTACCGATATTTTATATTGTCGGTTCAACTCTGAATGCTACCAATTGATGGATTTCATTGATTATTAATGGAGCCGTATTTTCAAGGGGAGAAATCTACATTTTTTTTAACAAGTGATGACTTTTAACAGCGTTTTAAATGTTGATATAAACTGATGACTATTATAGCATTTATAAGCAATTGGTAAATGATCTTAATATTAACTCAGCGTCAAAAACTCCTATTTTCTTTTCTTCTTTTTTGTATTCCTATCCTCTCTCAGATTTACCCAAAACCCCCGCTTATCTTCTTCCCTCATCCCTTTTCCAGTTTCACCCAAACACTCAATTTTCTTCCCCGACCCTCTCCCGGTTTCTACCAAAACCATCACCTCTAGGGTACTTATATAGTCGTCGGCCAATACAACTAGCTGGGAAAGAGAACGATGGGAGCTAAACTCACAAAGACCACAACTGCGCCCATCTTTCTCCTCATTTCTCTCTGCTCCTACCAGATATCATTGTGGAAAGGCATTTCTCGTCGCGCCATTCATATTCTTGGCTAGTTCTGAGATTTAGATGAAATCAAGCTTTACAATGGTATTTTATTCCATTTGGCAATATTTAGCTTAAATCATGCATAAATCATGCTTAAAACCGGCTCCTAAACAACCTCCAAGTATTAGGTTAACGGGTTGTTTGGTTGCAAGTAGGATTAAGTTTGAATGAGATTTAATAAATCTTGCGATTCGAATTTGTCAAATCCTGAGATAGTTAAATCATTAAAAACTATTTGATATGTTAGTAAGTATTTTTATTATTTAATTACAGATTTTAAGCATAGAAAATTTCTCTCGCTGCACTAGAATAATTCAGCATATTTGCATCTGTTATGTGAGACACAAATTAAACGCAAAACCAACGATATTTAAGGATCAGAGTCAAATTTGCATCTGCTTTTTGTCTGATTTGTGCTGACGTTAAATTGGGAGTTGGAAATTTTAATTTTGTCTAATTTACATCGAAATATTCTGACGCAAATTATTTTCATCGGTTTTAGATCATATTGACATCGATTTTGATTATAAGTAACATGCGTCGACATTTGCATTTAAAAATATCAAAAGATAAATATTAGCGTCGGAGTATTGTTAAATTTTCATCAGAAATATTGCTGAATGACGAAGTAATATTGTAATTTTAGTGTCGGATTTTGCATTCAAAAATGGACTCAGATTTGTAACACAGAAAAAATTTACAATATCAATTGCGTTTTCATAACCTGCACAAAAGTACATGGCACATCACAAACCACATTAACCATAGCCAAATCATGGATCATATCTCTGAACTATATCATTATTAAAAGGAAGATACTTTCACAAATCATCACAAAAAATAATAGTAAAGTTAAGCAAAAAAATTTCAGAATAAATGTTTGTCATAATGCTTACAACTAAAAGAAGACAAAAAAAAACTGTTCATCATCTCCATCATCCTCCTCCTCCTCCTCTTCGTGCTCGAATGTCATTGGCTACTTGCCCTGGCTCTCTGTTAAGGTCTCCGCCATGCGCACTAGAGAGACCTTGACTCTATGTTTGCCTTGTAGCATTTGCTCGTGCAACTGGCAGATTTCCTCAATCATTACAACCACCTACCTGACAAAAGTCTCCTGACCGGACTGTGAGAAGCTCGGAGAACTAAGAGTGGGACCACAAAAGAGCTTGGCCTCAAAAGTTATGCCAATTGCTCCAAGGCCATAAACTCTCCCCTTCTCCCTGTCATCTGGGTCCAAAACTTTTACTTCGAATGCGCAGTGGTAGACTGACTACCACTGCTACTGGCATCAGTTTGGGTCTGAGTGGCAAAATGTCTCTTTTGGAGCTGCTCAAACTCCTCTTGCATGATGAAAACTAGTGTTTGATTGACACTTTCAGTAGTTAGAGTCAAAATATAATTTTATATTAAGGTTTTTAACTTATAGCAACTCGTCAGGAAATTCCCCAAGACCCATTGTACAGTTGTTGACCTCACTTTTGGTTGAGGTCTAAAAAACTTCTTTAGTAGCCTAATTCTAGCCATAGGACTTTCCTATTGACTAGTCTTAGAAAATTAGAAAAGGTACCCCCACCATTAGAAATTCAAAACTCTTCTTTTTACTCAACTTGAAATTCCACATATTGATCTTAACCTCTAGCATTTAGTAGATAAGATCATTATAAGAGAATTCAAGAAGAGTCCCTATAGGATTACTTGGCTTTAGGATTGACCCTGCGTGTTGACTTGAAACTAGGGTACACCATATCTTCACAATACATTAACCCATGGTTCATTTAGAACGGATATCTATCCAATTCTATGTGAAATGCCTAAATTGGTCTTTTGCCCCTATGCACCTCCAACAAATTACCGAACTGCCCTTGGGACCTAAATTTGGCTAAAATTCCCAAATTTTGCCAAAATACCCAAAATTGA